CCCAAAGAAGAATAGAAAGAGCTATGCTTGGAATAACACGTTTCACTCAAATGAGAGAAAGAATCCAGAGTTCCGACATCCGTCCATGATCAAGAATCAGGGACGCTGTCTCATTTGCCAAGGCGTCAAAAAATCAGATGGGCTGGTCACGTAATGAGATTTAAAGACGACCACTGGACTAGAGCTGTTACTGACTGGATTCCACGGGATGTCAAAAGACCGCGTGGCCACCCACCTACCAGATGGTCAGACTTCTTCATCAAGATCATGAACGATTGGTTTGAGGCTCTTCATGTTCCCAGAGCGAACAGATGCCATTGGGCTACACTAGCACGTGACAGGGACAAATGGAGACGTTACTGGTGCCCGCTCGAGCAAATCGACGACTAACGGGAAGTTAAGTGATTAAGTGTGATTTGGGCTGGATTGATAGTATTGTGGGTTGGGTGTTTGTGTTGCATGTGGCTGACTAGAGTTCAATTCTGGCACCACAGATGGTCTTCTGAGGACTAGGAGAGGTCCTGAACACAGAGCCAGGGTAAGTCCCAACCACCGCTTGATGTGCCCCCAAACAAACTAACAAACAAAATTTAAATTTTGGTTTTTGTGCTACAGCAGGAAGTGCTAAGGGGCTAATATTAGGTCTGTGTTCATGCAGGGGTTGTTTCTAGTTGTGTTTGGGCAACCTTGTAGTGTTGAGGATTAAAATGCAGTAAACCAACCATATGTAAGGCAAAATCTCCTAAACTATGTCTTAGGATTTTTTTTTAAAGAAAACAATTTTAAATGCTTATTTGTATACTCTTATGAGATGCCTATAGTTATTTTATCAAAATAACTGTGTTAAGAAAACAGTTCATGTTTCCAATAATTTATTTTAATTTAATTTAATTTTTATAAAATTGTTCACAGTAATTTATTGCATTTGATATTCCAGCATCAATACCACCACTATTACACCTCCCCACCATTATTATTTCCTATTTTTCCAACCACCACCCAAGTCTGCCCCAATAACAGGCCCTAAATAATTGAGTTGTATTGCTTGTTATGATTAATTCACTAAAAATTATCAAAAAAATTACCTTGAAAGTGTGTGAAGATTGTTGTATATCATCCTGGAGCCATTGAACCCTTTTATAAGAGATTACTAACATGTTGTTACAGGGTAAGCCTTGTGTGTTCCCACTTAATGTGGTGTGTTACTTCACAGTGATTCAGAGTATTAGATGTTGCATGGCCATTAAAGTGGCTAAGTGCTCCAGGATTTCTAAAAATATGATGAGATGATACAGCTGGGGTGAAATTTTTAACTAAATCTTGACTTTGGAGTCTGGAAGCATCTCTGCAGTTTGCTGATCTCTTTCGAGATTTATTTATGAGTCTCTGGATCATGACTGGTTAATGAGCTTATTTGGTACCAGAGACACTTCATGGGCATGACCTTCCCCATCCCCCTATTCTTCCAGGAGCCTGGGATTTCAGTCACAAAACTGAATTCCTGAATTTTTCAACATATTCTTTCATAGATGAGGCTTGTCCGAGTTTGTGGAGTCAGGCTGTGAGCATGGTGACGATTGAGTTCTGGAGGTTTTCGGCTGCCAGGGCTCTGCTTGGGTAAGTGGAGGGACTCACCTGTGGCAGTCTGGGGTGCCCCAGATATGAGAGTCAGTCCATGGCAATGTCTAGAAGCATCTCTTCAGCTCAAGAGAACTTATTTTTATTGTTTAAATTCTCGTATAAAAAATCTCTAAGCAATAATTTCTAAAATTTTGGGGCCACACCTGTATTGAGATTATTCTGAGTTTGGTGCTTAGCGGTTACTCCCAATGAGCTTCAAAGAGTCTGTGGTGCTCGGACCTGAATTCATAGCCTCACTCATTCAAAGCAAGTGCTTTATCTCTGAGCCACATCTTCAGGCCCCAAATAAAATTCTTTCTTAGGTACTTGGAAACATATGTGCTCTGTCTTCATAAGTTTGTCAGTAGTAGGCATAAGTGGGCTTTAATAAGACTCTATGGGTCTGGAGTAATAGCATAGCAGGTAGGGCTTTTACCTTGCACGTGGCTGACCTAGGCTTGATTCCCAGCATCCCATATGGTCCCCCGAGCACTGCCAGGAGTAATTCCTGAGTGCATGAGCCAGGAGTAACCCCTGTGCATTGCTGGGTGCGACCCCCAGCAAAAATATCACTGTATCACTGTTATCTCGTTGATTGTCAAATTACTCGAGTGGGTGCCAGTAATGTCTCTATTCCTCCCAGCCGTGAGATTTTAGCAGCCTCTTCTTACTTGTCTTTTCCCAATGATTGAAGGCTCTTTCAGGGTCAGGGGAATGATATCTGTTGTTGTTACTGTATTTGGCATATCGAATACGCCATGGGGAGCTTGCCAGGCTCTTTGAGAGGCATATATTTATATATTTTTCTCTATGATTTGTTGCCTACCATCTGAACCCCATCAGATATGGTGTAGTAATTGTGGAAAATGGGTAGGAAGTGTCTTATAATGTATCCGGAAAGCAGCCTGGAGCATGGCAGTGGTTGGGTAGTGGAGGTCAGCTGCCAGGGCTGGGTCCCTGGGGTGGGGACGGCTCTCACCTGCCCCACAGCCTGGCGTGGAGTTCGGTGACATAGTTCTGGGAGTCTGATTTTATACTCCCATCTGGGAGGAGCATCCTGAGTTCTGGAGGGTCCTGATGAGGAGATTATCTGGTGCTGGCAGGGTGTGGCTTATGGGTGTGATTCCTGAGTCCTCAGAGACTGGGGGAAGCAGGCAGAGTATCTCTGTTCCAGGGTCCTGGTGAGTCTAGAGTTCAAAGTCATGAAGTTCCGCATTATCTGGGTTCCGTGGGACTTTTTTTTATGTGTGAGGCTCAGCCTGAGCATCCGGAAAGTGGCCTGGAGCAAGGTAGTGGTTGGGTAGTGGAGGTCGGCTGCCAGGGCTGGGTTCCTTGGGGTGGAGAGGGCTCTCACCCGCCCCACAGGCTGGGGCGGAGTCCCCCCGCCAAAAAAAAAAGAAAAAGAAAAGAAGACTCTAGGGTATGCCAGTAATTTTCACTGAAGCATTGTTCTCCAGTTGTTCATCTATTTGCTCAAGCAGCCACCAGTAATGCCTCCATTGTGAAACTTGTTGTTACTGTTTTTGGCATATCAAATATGCCATGGGTAGCTTGCCAGGCTTTTGCTGTGCGGGCAGGATACTCTCAGTAGCTTGCTGGGCTCTCCGAGAGGGTCAGCTGCATGCAAGGCAAATGCCCTACCCACTGTGCTATCACTCCAGCCCGGGTTTCTTTTACAAAGTATATAATTCATTGATTATATTTTCTGTACATTTCTTGTTGGGCTTGCTTAGACTTGTACTTGATAGTGTTGAAATAGGTTTGGAGGCACTGAGGATCAGCTTTGGAGGCATCAGGATAAAGATAGCTTTAAGTAGATTTTATTTTTCATTCTTTTTTTTTCTTTTTGGGTCACACCCGGCCATGCACAGGTGTTACTCCTGGCTCTGGACTCAGGAATTACTCCTAGCGGTGCAGGGGGACCATGTGGGATGCTGGGAATAGAACCTAGGTCGGCCATGTGCAAGGCAAATGCCCTACCCACTGTGCTATCATCCCAGCCCTTTAAGTAGATTTTTATAGGTGAAAGAGGCCTGACTTTCTCCTTTTTTAGATTCTTTGTGATTTCTCCTCTGCTGGATACTTTCCTGGCCACCTTGTTCCCCATGATGGTTACTCCTGATCATTTATATCTTTAGGTATCTTGATCACCAAACATGAAGGAAAGCACATCATATTATTCTCTCCTCAGTCATCTTTGAATGGAAAGGAGACTCAAGAATCTTGTCCTTAACAAGACAATTTTAGCTGTGCCTGAGCTATTTGAAATTTATAGTGAAATTTAAGGTTTTTGACTTAATGTATTCACTCTCCTTAGGGATTCTGATGTATTTTAAACTATCAATGATTAATTCAGAATTGACAGATAAAATTGTCAAAGGTTGAAATTTGGTTTCCTCTCCAGTGACTCATTACAAGGCTTTCCTTCCGTTTGTTTTTACCAAGCCAATTAGGTTCTCTGGACTATTCCCCTGACCACAAGAGCAAGTTAGGATATCCAAAGTCTCTGCAGTAACACCAGATAATATTTTCCAGTGCTGTTAATTGCCTACCGCTTAGATTCACCTCCCACAGCTTCTTATACAACAACAACAACAACACAAACAAAAGCTTAATAACTAAGGTTTCAAGTTCCCTAAAAATGTTGTGGTCAGAGAACAGGTAAGTATAAAGATGGAAATTCAGAATAACAGGGGGAAAATGAACTGATCCACTGCTTCATAAAAAGCAGTATTAGTGGCAGATTCTCCATCTGCCATGCATTTTTGGTTGTGGTTAGAAAGGTTAAAATGCAGGGAAGAAGTAACTGATGACATTGGGGAGTATACAAGGAGAAAAAGATTGTGGAGAAAAGTATATAACTGGTTTTGAATTTTATGTGATGTTAAAAACGTGTCTTAAGCATTCCAGGCTGAAGTCTAGGATAGCACAATGCAATGCTTTTGGCAAAGGAAAAGGACTTGAGGGTTCAAATGATGACTTGGAAAAGGATTGATTTTTATCCTCATAGTCTTTTTTAGTAAGCATGAGGTTATAATGCATAAAAATTAGAATGAATATTACTTAACCCGTTTTATTCCTATATTTACAGAAAAGTTAAAAAAAGGAAGACATCCACGAGAGAACAGATTTTTCACAGAATTTCTTGGGATTAAAAGCAAATAATGCACAAAGAATTTTCAGAAGGATTGATTGGTAAACTGTCTTTCTGAGAACACTCCTCACCCCATCTGCTTGTCTAAGTATACCTTGACTCATTTTGACTATGATATAGAGAAACTGCATTAATAGTATTAAAGGGAGATTAAACTTCCTATGAATGACCTGTTTGCTGGACACTCAGTTGTTTCCTCTCTCCCTCTCTAGTTTTGGCTATCACAATGTCAGATTTAAGTAAGTAAGGTCCAAAGAGAAAAATATTAGGAATTTAAATGTACATAAATTAGTATTAAGAGAGAATTTAAAGTGCAGAGACAACCTACTTAATTTGGTAACTTATTTCAAATACAGGAATGTAGTCATTCTTGATAACGTCTGTATTTTATTTTTGCACAACAGTAGACAAGTGAACGTTGGTCTAAAATAACAAGATTAGGTTGAAAGTGGAGAATTTTGGATTTTCAGTCGATTAACTATAGACATGGCAGAAAAAGTGAGACTGTTTTTAAGTAGTATGTCTTGACGATGTAGCTATATCACGGATATATTGACTATGTAGGAAGGACCAGTAATTTACTTTCTATACATACTGATTTATTTCTACGGATTTAACAGTTACACCCATTCTATTATATTCAGCTATACATTTTTAATTGACTGAAAATATTTTGTGGGTAAAAGAACAAATTCATATTGGTGTTTAGAGAGTAAACGTAACTCTAATTTGAGAAGCACAAAGGAGAGGAAAGTCCTGGAGAACAAATGACCCAAAGTGGTCTTTTAGAACTAGTTTATTGAGAATTAAAAATTCGTTTAAAAACCATCCTTATAGGAACATTCAAATGTCTCTAAATTTGTGTATTTAACTGAGAATCATTTTGTGATTGAAACTGGAGATACAAACCATCTAAGTGCTAATGCATGTGAATGTCTTGTGGTTTTCTTTTATTTTCCCTTTGTTTCTTTTCCCTTTTTAGTTAATCTATTCCCAAACTCCCTATTTTCATGTTTTCTTGTTGAATTCTTCCATCAGTATATCTGATTTGGGCTCACTATTAGATATTCCAAATTTATTTGCCTATTTTATACTATGAAAACTCCCAGTTGCTGGAACATCTATATTTGCATTAGGGGTTGCTGCCAAGTGATAAGAAAAATAATTTTCATAAACATTTGAAAGTCTTGTCATTTCTTTTCTTACTATTTTTGGTTGGGATATAATTGGCTTATAACATTGTTAGAACCACATGTTCTAAAACAGTATTTTAGATACATGTTCAAATGTACGCTTCCACACTTTGCTTGTTATCAAAATATCAATAAATCTAAATCACAATCTATAGGATTTCCCCCTAGATCCTTAAGATCTGATATTTCTTGTCTAGCCCTTGGGGACATTACTATATTCATAGCCAAATTCATTGTTTAAGAACCTAGGAAAACACTAATTATACTAAATTTGGGAATATATTAGACCACATTTTTGTGTATGTGAATTCTTCTGTGGTATTTACATTTTTATGGAGTATGACCATGAGAGGTTCCTACTATATTTAAAAATCATAGCTTAACATTGTTTAGAGGACCAGAGCTATAGTACAGTGGGTAGTTTGCTTGTCTATAAGCAGCCAACTAGAGCTCAAATCCTGACATCCCATATGGTCTCATGAACCTTTCCAGAAGAGCATGACATAGAGCCAGGAGTAAGCCCTGAGCACCTCCATGTATGGCCATACTCCACGAACACCAAAACCCCCACCCAACCCAAAAGAGTTATTTAGTGTCTTTCTTCCTGTGTGCCTCTTCCATCTATTTGTGCTTCCATCTATTTATTATTTTGTTTATTGTCCCCTCCATTCATCAACCATCTATCCATGAGAATTTTGAAAGTATAAAATGTCAAATAGATTAGGAACATGTGATATATGCTGTCCATCCATCCATCCATCCATCCATCCATCCACTCATCCACATATGCATTCAATTCTCCAAAATCACTACATTTGATACACATGGTCAATCCATTTTAATTTTAATTACCATATGATTAGAACACTTTGAAAAATAAAATAAGAAAAAATTGAGTTTCCCCAGAGAAACTTAAAGTTTAATACAGGATTTATCAATCTTGACATTTTGTCATCTGGGGCTGAGTAATTCTTTGTTGTGGGAAATTATAGCCTGTGCATTTATGAAGTTTAGTATTATTGAATATAAATATTCTATGTTGTCATACTGGGGTTAATGGGAAAGCAGAGTGAAATACCATTAATAAAAATACTACTGTCCCCTAATGATATTTCACTCTGCTACCAAAGTTTTACGTTTTTCTCACTTAATTTCACCTGATTTATTATATTTCCTTCTTATGGCTTCAAATGTCTTCTTATTTAGATTTCTTGGTAAAAATGTGACTAAATGTGTATTAATTCTATTACTATCTTTTATAAGAATGTAGATTTGGGATTTTGCTGTTTATTTCTCTTTAAAATCTCTCTAAAGAGGTACACTATTTACTATGTCTGAAGGACCTGGGTACTTAGAAGCCCTAGTTATTTCATGATGCGTTATTTCAATATATCCATAATATAATCATCTTTCTCTACCTATAACTTTATCACCTTGATCTAAGTATCATTTTCATCTTTTGTTTGAATTATATTAATAGCCTCTAAATCTCTGTTTATCTTCTTGAGAGTGAAATGTATTCACAATTGCGGCATTGCAATCATTGTGAGAATGGTTCTTTAATAATATAAGCCATATTTTGTCATTCCCTTGTTTAAAATCCAATTGCTTTTTAATAAATTCAGAATAATAACCAATTTTTTAATAAGCTTCTTGATGTATAAAGCCCTAGATAATCTGTGTCCCTGATACTTCTCAGGTTCTATTACTCTCACCAATGTGTTTTATAGATCCTGTAAGTCTGACCCATTACTGAATTCAGCTTTCTTGAACTGTAGTTGTTTGAACATAGCAAGCAAGCTGATACCTTTGAGTATTCTGTTATCTATGCCTGGGATATTCTTTCACCCCAAAGCCTTCATTGTTTGATCAGGAACCTTCAGTCAAATAATCAATTTCATAATTGTAATTCACATTCACTATATTACCCTTTTAATCTTAATTTCCCTTCATAGTGAAATCATCATCTTATATCATATAGATCTTTTAAAATATTTGACTTTTTGCATTTTTTTCTCTTCCAAAATGTATATATGTGATTAGTTTTGCTCCTCCATGGAGAGAATGGTTAACACTGACCTTATTGAAATTTAACACCAAGTGCCCTTTGTTTGTGGTTTCATCAGGTGCACCCATGGGTCTCAGTTCATGTTAACAAGACCAACTGGCAACTCAGTTACTGTCATATGTAACTACAGCATTAGTGGCCAAAAAGATGTTGTTGGATTTTTGTGAGAGGATTAGGTAATATTTGATTTCTGAAATTTACATATCTTCCCATAGAGGGCAGTACTATAATAGTGTTAATTTGATGGTTTCCTTTTCTTTCTTTAGGTAACAGGACAGTGGACCTACCAAAGGAACAAAGGAATGAAGCCAACCACTCAGTGGTGTCTGAATTTGTGTTGCTGGGCCTCTCCAATTCCTGGGAGATACAACTTCTTCTTTTTCTCTTTTCTTGTCTTTTCTATGTATTTAGCATGATGGGAAACTTCCTCATAGTGATCACTGTGATCTTTGACCCTTATTTACATTCCCCCATGTATTTTCTATTAGCCAATCTCTCTATCATTGACCTGATATTTTGCTCCATTGCAGCACCCAAGATGATTTGTGATCTTTTCAGAAAACAAAAGGTCATATCCTTTGGGGGCTGCATAGCTCAGATCTTTTTCAGCCATGCTGTTGGAGGCAGTGAGATGGTATTGCTTATAGCCATGGCTTTCGACAGATATGTGGCCATATGTAAACCTCTCCACTATTTGACCATCATGAGGCCAAGCGTGTGCACTTTGATTCTAGTGGTTGCCTGGACCATTGGTGTTATTCACTCATTGGCCCAACTGGCTTTTGTGGTAAACTTGCCTTTCTGTGGCCCTAATGTGTTGGACAGCTTTTACTGTGACATACCACGGCTAATCAAACTTGCTTGCACAGACACTTATAAACTGGAACTCATGGTCAATGCTAATAGTGAGTTTATTTCCTTGGGTGCTTTCTTCATGCTCATTCTTTCTTATATTTTTATTTTGGTGACTGTTCAGAAACATTCATCAGGTAGTTCATCTAAGGCTCTTTCAACTTTGTCAACTCATATTGTTGTGGTGGTTTTATTTTTTGGCCCACTTATTTTTTTCTATGTATGCCCCTCCCCTTCAACACATCTGGATAAATTTCTAGCCATGTTTGATGCAGTTTTAACTCCATTCCTAAATCCACTCATCTATACACTCAGGAACAGAGACATGAAGACAGCGATAAGGAGAGTGTTCATAAAACTTACAGGTTTTGGAAAGAAAGGGCTTTACTGAAGCATGAAATTTTCTGGTAATGATAAATATTCTTTCCTTAGCATTTGATCCACATGAAGAAGGGAACCATATTTTTGAGATTCTATTTTGGTCCCCTGTTTTTTCCCTTCATTTTAATTGATTCTCTGTGTTGGTTATTATGCATTAGATAAAGCAATCAGCTCTCTTAATTTTGAAGGAGTGGCCTCAGGTAGAACTTTATTGTTCCACCTTGTTCTTGGTTGTTTCTGAAACCCTTGATTGTCCAGGTGGTTTATTTCATTTTTAATAGTTCCTAGTTCCAAGACTTGTTGGTGTCTTAAAGGGGAAATAACTCACTGAGCACCTACAACCAGGAGGAGTGGAAATTGTTACGAGTGAATGAGTCAACACTGTCCTTCTCCTCCCCCAGTCTTTAAAGTATAAAATATGTACTGTGTGGCCGCAAGCACAAACCCTCTGTTTTCTAGCCTTTTGGTCTAGCTTCTTTGCCTGTGGCTTGTTACCCATATAGGAATTGTCAATTTGGGGGAAGTGACATTTTGACAAGAGTGAAGAAGTTCTGAACAAGCAACCACCTGAAAAATCAATTCAAAATCAACCGAATAATTTATCTGAGTGTTTATGTCAGGAGCCCTTGCCCCTGTATGTGGAGAACTTAAGAAGTTCTGATGGAGCGGCAAAAATTGAAGCCCCCAACAAGCACATAAGCTTCAGTCCAGAGATGTTGGTGTGCTGTACCGAAGCCAGGACTAGCACTGCAGGAGATGGATGCTCTGGCCAATGCTCCAGGGAGCAAGTCTCACCATGTATTCTCACACGTGAAGACCAAGCATGAACCTTGCCCCTCAGTTAAGGTTCCAGGCAAGCGAATAGGACTCAGAGTGTGCTGCATTCTGCATTCTGCTATCTGGGCGATGCCTAGGGCTGGTAGTCTGCTAGCAAAGTCCTCTCTGATGGTACCTGACCGGTAACCCAGGAGCACAGTGCCCTTGGCCAGCAGAGCCAGGAATTGAAGGGCAATCTCCAAGATGCAGGGCAGAGGGGCAGCCAAGGGGGCGCATCACCCCCAGTCATGCGGGGAGCCACGGAATAGGGCCTGTCTCCCGAGAGTCTCGGAATGCGGAGACAACAGAAAACTGCCTCCCAGGCTAACTTCTGGGACAAGCAGAGGGCAACTGAGCATCTCCTGCATGAGTGAGAGCCGGTGCCTGTCAGTTTGTCCATCACTCTGGGCTGGTAAACTGGTGCATCCCAGCACCAGGCCTACAGAACTCTGGTAGCATCTGCACACAAGCTGCATTGGTTTTCCAAGTTACAAGTTTAGAGGTTGTGTTGGGTGCAGGACTTTAAAGCTGGGGCACCACAGGGAGACGTTGAAAGGTTTAAGTTCCCTGCTGACTGTAAATGGATGTGCAAAGCTGGAGGTGCAGTGGGGCTCAAGGAGCACTTGTGTTGTGCCTTCCCTGACCTGCTTATTCATATCTTCGTGTCCTCATGATGTCCTCTGCTGAGCAATTGCACATGGCTCCCTCAGTCCTCATTGCCCACTCAAGTTGTTCCATTCATAGTTGAAGATTGACTGTGTTATGGGAGGGGTGAATCTAGGATTCTCTAACAGTAAGGACTCCAACAAGCACTAGATTCCCTTTTCCTGTTGAGCTGGGGATTCTAGCAATTTAGTATTCATTGACCTTCACCACCCACTGGTTGGTCTGATTTCTTCTCCTTGAATGGGATGGCATTCTTCCTTGTAAAGAAAGCATCATTCTTGTATTAAAGATATAGCAATCAGATTATATTATTCCTACATTTGTAGTTACCAAATAACAGTGCCAAGAATATTTTTTCAGGGATAGAAATAATGATGTAACAGTTTTTCCCCACACCTCAGGAAAACTGTATTTTTATTTTTTTCAGGCCGACTGACTATAGTTAGTATATAGAAATCATGCTTAATCACAGCTGGCTCTGCGGGCTCAAGACCAGTTGTGGTGGTGTCATCTCTACACTGTAGACAAGCACGATGCTCCTATTCCTTTTTAAACCACAATAGCAATGAAAAATGCAATTCCAAAAAATAACACATAATTAGAGGAAGTGCTAAACTATTTATATGATTTATAACTGATCTCAGCATCCTTAAAGTAGGCTAACAAAAAACACAAATGATCTCTGGACAAGAACTGATGTAGTCAAGCAAGCCTTTTTAATGAAAGGAGAAGTGGCTTATGAATCACAAAAAAGTGGTGGCTGTAGTTACATAATTGATGAAGATGGTTGCTTGAGCTGTGTTTTACGTAGCTGATGGCTGTTTCCTGATGGAATGAGAGGCTCTTCGTGTTCCTAGAACGAACAGACGCCAATGGGCTACACTAGCACGCGACAGGGACTAATGGAGAAGTTACTGGCCTGCTCCAGCAAATCGATGAGTAAAGGGAAGTCAAGTGATCAAGTGATCAGCTGGAGCGATAGCACAGCAGGTAGGGCTTTTGCCTTGCATGCGGCCGATCCAGGTTCAATTCCTCTATCCCTCTCGAAGTGCCCGGCAAGCTACCAAGAGTATCCCGCCCACATGGCAGAGCCTGGCAAGTTCCCTGTGGCATATTCGATTTACCAAAAACAGTAACAAGTCTCACAATGGAGACGTTATTGGTGTCTGCTCAAGCAAATTGATGAATGACAGGAGGACAGTGGAGACAGTGCTAAAAAAAAATACTTTAGTAAAAGAACTGTCACTGTCCTCCCATTGTTCATCAATTTGCTCGAGCAGGCCCAGTAACGTCTCCATTTTGAGAGTTGTTGTTACTGTGTTTGGCATATTGAATAAGCCCCGGGTAGCTTGCCAGGCTTTGCCCTGTGGGCGAGATACTTTCAGTAGCTTGCTGGGCTTTCTGAGAGGGGCAGAGGAATCGAACTTGGGTCGGCCATGTTGGCCCCTTGCAAGGCAAACGCCTTACCTGCTCTGCTATCACTCCAGCCTCCTTGAACTCAAATTAAAAAATTTATTAAAAATTGAAATTATATTGGTTTAAAATAACATGTTTTGGGGGTCCAATTTCACACTTCTCCAAAATGTGTTTTCACACTGCATCTGCCACCAATACACGTCACTACAGTCCACTGTATTACCTCCTCCATCTAATTGCCACCTTCATCCTATTACTCTGAGAACTTCAGTTCTCCTGTCTGATATATATATATATATATATATTTTTTTCTTTCTTTCTTTCTTTTTCCTCCCCGTACTCTTTGCTTTGCTTTTTTGTGCATCACATATGGGTGAGATGATCTAGTCTTAGTCTTCTTATATCTGACAAATTTCATTTAGCTTGACATGCTCCAGATCCATCTATATTGTTATAGAAGGTAATTTTTTCCCTTATGGCTGAGGAGTAATATTTCATTGTGTAATATATTACATTTCTTTAGTCACTGATCTGTATGTCTTTTTTTTTTTTGTGCATGAGCACACCATGTTGTACTCTGAGCTTATTCCTGCCTATGCTCAGTGGGTCACTCCTGGGATTGCTTGGTGGGACCATAGTGTAGTATGTAGGCAGAGATCAAACCAGGGTCAGTGGTATGCAAGTCATGTGTCTTAACTCATAGTTCTCTGGCCTCCATGGTATGAATTTTAATTTGATAATTTTTCTTGAAAATTTATCAATTTTATGGAAATGCAGGCCCCATTTCTTCATTTAAATTTTATTTTTAGGGGCCACAACTGGCAGTGGTTGGGGATAGTCCTAGTGTTGGCAAGAATCAAACTTAGGGCCTAGCATATGCTAAGACTGAGCGTATCTCCCTCATGCCTGTCAATGTAATGTTTTATGAATAAGGTAAAGGTAAAGGCCCTCCCGTTGTTCATCGATTTGCTCGAGCGGGCCCAGTAACGTCTCCATTGAAGACTTTGTTGTTACTGTGTTTGGCATATCGAATATGTCACGGGTAGCTTGCCAGGCTCTGCCATACGGGCGAGATACTCTTGGTAGCTTGCCGGGCTCTCCGAGAGGGGTGGAGGAATCGAACTCGGGTCAGCCATGTTGGCTGCGTGCAAGGCAAACGTCCTACTGCTGTGCTATCACTCTAGCCCTAAATAAAACTCAATAATGTATTTATGATGAAAGCAAATAAAATTTACCTCCCCTGAATTTGTAATTTGACAAATTCTATATGATGGTTCTTCTAGAACATCTCCTACTCCCCTTCAAAATCAATATCAGGGACAGGTGTTGGAACACTGCATGACTGAAACCCAGTCATGAACAACTTTGTAACTGTATCTCATGGTGATTCAGTGAAAAAAATAAGCTTCAGCAGTATAGAAAAATTCTTTAACCTTTTTTATTGATTCACTTGAGTTTTGCATTTTCTCTTTCTGTCAAGAGAGTGTATCCATTCTGGGTACCGAAGTCAGGTCAGTTTTCCACAGTATATAAGTCTAAGTTAAATTTCTATTTGAACTAGTTTTAACATTTTATTAGTTCCCTTGTCAATGAATTAATGTATTAAAAACATATTTATTGCTTAATTATACAACTAAATAAATTACCTAAATAAAAGAATTGCCTAAATAATGTTACCTAAAATATTTGTAAATAAAAACGTATCTTTATAAAATATTACTTGAAGAAAAATAAAAATATTTTAATATATTTTTATTTAATGGAATCTATTTGTTGAGCGATAGCACAACAGTAGGGCATTTGCCTTGCATATGGCTGACCTGGCAACCTGGGTTCGATTTCTTCGCCCCTCTCGGAGAGCTTGACAAGCTACTGAGAGTATCTCGCCCTCACAGCAAAGCCTGGCAAGCTACCTGTGATGTATTTGATATGCCAAACACAGTAAAAACAAGTCTCACAATGAAGACGTTATTGAGACCGCTCGAGCAAATCGATTTGTTACTATTTGGTGTTCAGAATAAGCAAAATTTAGAGGCCTTGCTGATCCTATATAGGACAGAGTCAGATTATGAACTTTTGGCTTTAACAAACTTTTCTTTTTTCTTTCAAAAT